CATGCTGCTTATTGTTTGGCTACCCTTACTCATGCTACCTGAACCTTCTGCATCTTTATCCCCATGTCCCCTGGTTATAGTCCTGAGACTCAACTCAGGTGGCCCTTCCTCTAAGAAGCTTTCCCTGACCCACTTGGGATCAGTGAGTTGTCTCCAGCCATTAGTCCCACCTTGTGATTACCCAATTGCATTCATCAGTTTATGTGCCTGTCTCTACCACTACGCTAACTCCTGAAGAGGACAGATCATGTCTCATGTCTTACTCATTCTTATCTACCCGTAACTGGCACATTTATCTAAGCACATAGCAGATGTCTAGCAAGTGCTTGTGGAATGAATGAAGGTGAGCTTTGTCACTCCGAGGCCACAATCTCTTTCCCCCCTTGACCTTCTGAATGTCTAGACACCTAGTCTTCATTGAACATATTACTTTCTCCTTGCCTTTCCCTAGATGCTCTAAATTACTAACTGGTCTCCTATATGCATTTACTATGTGCAAAGCACTGAGCCAGGAAGTTTACAGGAAAGTACAATGAAAATAAAATTCATGAGGAGAAACAAGATGGCGGCATAGGTAAACACCTGAATTTGCTGCCGCGCACAACCACATTAAAACTACAACTAAAAGACAAAATGAATATCATCCAGAACCACAGGAAGGCTGGCTGAGTGGAAATTCTACAACTAGAAGGAAAGAGAAAAGTGCACTGAGTCCGGCAGGAGGTGGAAGTGTGGAGGTACGGAGGTGCGCGCGAAAAGGGCTGGCAGTTGGGTATGCTGCTGTCTTTTTCAATCGGGAGGGAGAAACAAGCTCCTGACTGCTTTGAACTCCAGCTGCGGGTGAACATTTGGAGACCCAGACTCATATGGAGAGAAACTGTACTGTCTGGCATCAGGCCAGAACGTGAGGGCGGCTTTCTCGCAGAAGTGCTTGCAGCGTTCATTGTTCCTGCATGGGGCCGTGGGACACAGACCCCAGGACCTCTCCCAGGCAAAGCAGACTGGCAGCCATTGCGGTTTGTTTCGCCCTGGTAATTCCCTGAGACACCGCCCCACCCAATTTACATCCCCTCCCAAGCTGTGAGCAGAGGCTTTTGCATACTAATGGCCTGGCTTTTCTCTACCTGTCAAACTGTAGCTGGGTCAGAGAATCCCAGAGATTCCAAAAGAAGGCCTAAGGATCATCAGCAGCCTGCATTACTTCACAGCAGCATCTCATCTGGGCACTTCGAAACCCCAAACAAAGAGGAGGAATCTGAAGATCTCTCTGTAGCTTCTGCTGGGTGGCCTCAGGCAGTGGTTGACTTTGCACCTCCTTGGAGATCCAAGAACCAGTCTACCCAGTGGTCAGAGGGAGACCATCCAGACTACAACTCTTCACATCCATAAGAGACACACTCAGGGGACAGACTCAGTGAGCGCCAAAGCCCCACTGAAGCAAGTCCTGCCCCATAAGGATGTCTCCAGAACAGAAGTTCTCCCATTGTAGACACAACTGGTCCTCACAGCCAATTGACCTGG